AGGTTGAAATAGCTGTTCAAATAGTGCATGTAGAGTAGCTGAAATCGTCTGAGGTGGCAGCAGTAGCAAGGAAAGGATGGAAGAAAAGGAGAGCAGTGCTGGTTTTTGTTGCTATGGCTTCTGTTGCTATTGCTTGATATTACTAGCAGGTCTGGCTCTCCTTAACGTTTCACTTTATGGCTTTTATAGCACGAAAAGCCATGACACTCGGGTGAATGTGTGCAGTCTACAACTTGCACCGTGTGCTGTTGGATTCCTCCCCACCTAGAAATGGCCGAGAGATTTGGGGCCTGCGGTGGTAAAGCAAACAAGTTCTCTTTGTCTTAAGTAAAACTATAAATGTTTTGTGGAAGTAAAAATCCAGCTTCCCCTGATCTTCCATGGGAATGTCTGGGAGATGGAGGTGCATTTTTTGCAGAAGCCTAATTCTTTCATTTAAAAGCAATGATGGATAACTGTAGCAGTCTTATGACATGGCATGAATGGTGAAGAGGCTGAGGGGAGACCTTTTCACTCTCTCCAACTCCCTGAAAAGAGAGTGTAGAGAGGTGGGGGTGGGTCTGTTCAACCAAGGAACAAGTGACAAGACAAGAGGAAATGGCCTCACGTTGCACCAAGGGCAGTTAAGATTGGATGTGAGGAAGAATTTCTTTGCTGAAAGGGTTCTCGGGCATTGGAAGGGGCTGCCCAGGGCAGTGGTGGAGTCCCCATCCCTGGAGGGATTGAAGAATCGTGTAGACATAGTGCTGAGGGACATGGGTTAGTCAGGGACTTGTCAGTGTGAGGTTAATGATTGGACTCGATCTTAAAGTTCTGTCCAATCTAGACAATTCTGTGATTCTGTGAATGAAAATGTCATTCCAACTGCACCCTCTCCCATGTCCTTGATTACTTTCTTTTTTAGGTGTTTTCCTTTTTACAAAGTCTCCTGCTCTAGTTTTCCAAACTATGAGAACCTAAGATGCAACGTATAGAGACGTTAGTTTCTTTATCCAATAGAAAATCAAAGTAGATAAGCCAAGTTATTAGTGTACTCTCTTCTCAGTACTTACCCTCAGCAAGGCAGTATATCTTCAAGTTGAATTATCTCCGTACGAGTCCAGACTTAGTGATTCAGCTGGCTTTCCTGGGTTTGTGAGTGTTTAGCTAGCTTATTGTCCGTTTTCCTTGTTACTGTTGAGCTTAAGTAGGAAGAGGGTCCCTTTCAGCTCTTTCAAGACCTTCAGACTGGCTGAAGGTAATCTGTTTCTATCCCTTGTTCACCCTCACTAATGCTGCTGGTAATTGCTTTAACCTACATGCAAAGATGTTGATTTAATTAATAAGCAAGGCAGTCTGCCTTTATTACTGGCATGTCTAACGGCCTCTGCTTGTGGGTGGCAGCAGTCTGGTAGTAACCTCTGAAAATCAACCCACTTGATGGGAATGGATTTTGGGTTCCCATATGGAAGTCGTATGGAGCGCTGCCTCATTTTTAATCTTCCTTTGCATAATTTCAAATACCAGTGCTTCTGTGTCAGATCAGAATGTAGTGAGGGCTTGAAGTAATCCTTTGGGAGGGTGTTTGGCATCTCACATGATGTGCATTTTACTAATTCCACTGATTGGTGTCTTTGAGGAATTTTGCGTTATCAAAATGGAACAAAAGTGTAAAACTTAGGATTTGATAAAAGATTGCTATCATTTTTGGATGATTTTTTGAGATTGTGTAGTGCCCAACTAAGCTGCCAGAAGAGATTGAGGGTTAAGTTGTTTTTACAAACATTTTGCTCTTCCAACCTGGCTTCTTTAGTACCATGGCTTCTTTTATAGCTTGGCTCACAGAGGAATGTACCCCAAAGGATGGCTCATGAGCACTGGAAATGGTTTTAATCTCTTAATTTGTCCAGTTTCATTTACTGTTTGTCAGAAGGCAGTAACATTCAGAGCAAAGTTCTTGAAGGTCTTGATCTGAGTGGTGATGTGGAAGTGCTCTTGAACCTAGAGCAGGTGAGGTTGCTAACATGGAGTAATCATAGGTGGCTTGGTAAGGAAAAAAAAGTGGATTGTGTACTCTGTGCACTCTCATTAGCTGTGGCATTACTCTTAATTTAAACTCCAGTTCCTGATCTATATATATAATATAATATTTTTTTTGAAGTGACACTTTTTATGCCTAGAAGCTTGGGTATAGAGTAAGAAAGTGAGATTTATAATTAATATTATAAGTTCAAATTTGTTGTTTGTTTTTTTGTTTTTGTTTTTTTTTTTTAATTCTTCAATAAGTTTCGCTCCAAAATTGCAGGCTTGCCATGTACGTGGGTCTGATGAGATGCTTTGTCAGCTGATTTGTTTTATTTTAGTGTTGAAAATTTGGCTGCCATGTGCTATGTTTGTGTAATAACCAGCATGTGGTTTGGTGAGAAGCTCCCCAGACTGCTAAGGGCTGGGATTTATGCAGCATCACACATGCTGGTCTTTAATGAATGTTGGTGTGATAACATGCAGGAATATGCTTGATTTTTGGCTGTACCCCGAAATGGATAATCTATTAATTTCAGTATTTATATGTGGTATGGCCTGTATACAGTTGTATTCTACGGTTTCATTTAAAAATAGAAATACCTCAAAGTGCATATTAGTCCAACTTTATGTTGTATAGAAGTTTTACATATGCAGAATACACTTAAGTCATAACTGAAAGATGTCTATAAAAGTGTTCAGTAGTACATAATTAAATTATTTTTAATGCATCTAAGCTGCAAAGTCTGCAAATGCCAACTGAGTCAGTGTCTTCAGGAGAAAAGTGGTCACCATGCTTTTAAAGGATTCCTATCTGTCAAGTTTTTTCCTGCTTTCTCATTTCTGAGCCAACTGATTTAACTTAAAATTAAAGTCAATGTTTTGAACACCCCCTCTGTGATGTGGAATTTAAATCAGCTTTGTTTTTATGGTAAATAGATTAAAACCACATTAACTTTTAAACTGAAGCTGTAGCATTCCATTGAAACCCAGATAACATTAGGTCAACCAAAGTTATTAAACCACACAACAGTTGTTCTGGAGCTGTTTAAAGGGATTTGCCACAAAATGTGCATGTTTAATAGAAATGAACTAATGAAATTGTTTGCTCTGTTTCTTGGGCTGTGCAGGAAAGTAGGTTGTTTTGTTTTTTGTTTTGTTTTGTTTTTTCAAAAAGAAACAAACCAAAAATAAATCAAGAAATACAGTTCTCTTGAACTCTGAGCTTTCTGTATGGTTCTGAAGCTAATATTAAAAGCTAAATACAGTAGTTGTAGATTCCATTTGAATGTAATATACTAAATAGAGAACAGGTAAGTACAAAAAAGGTAGAAGCATAGAAGGAAGAATCAAAATAATTTATCTGTCTGAACCTACCAGCTATGTATGGAAAAAAAAGTTTTCTTCAGTAATTTTTCTGTTTCTTCCCTTTTTGCAGGCGTCTGATCACAGATTCCAAGGTTAAATTAAAGTACCAGCATTTAATAACCAATAGTTTTGTAGAGGTGAGTTTTTATTTAAAATATTTAATGGCTTCTAGGTTGTTTTTGTCTCACATATGTACCAAACCAGAGAAGTGAGGCAACTGTAGAGTGGGTTTTTTGCATAGTCTCTAATCAAGTGTGACTACAAGTCAGAGCCTTTGCAGGCGCTATTTTATGGCCCCTTTAGTTACAAGTATAGTTGTAGGAAAATCCTAAATAAATCTGCAGGACAAAAGACCTAGAGGTATAGCAAGCAGCTGTAGATAAAGAGAATGCAAGAGCTGTTCTGAGGAGCATTTAATATTTATAGTTCTTGAATGTTACCTGAGATACTTAGGATTGAAAACCAGGAAACATCACTGTAAACGAGAACATGCCTTAAAAATTTACCACTTGAAGCAAAGCTGCAAAATAGCTTTTAGCAAAATACTAATAGCTTTGCCACTTCAGAATCAAAATAAACTTAGAGAAAGGTGCTTTGGAAGATTCCCCACTGTCCTAATTTCACAGTTGTACGTGTTCAGATTCTGTAGAGCCCAGTATGTAAGTTGTTACTGGGATCAAATTTGTAACTCCTTGTTTGAAGTGATGTATGTGGTGGTTTTTGGTTTGGATTTTATTTTTTTCATGCAGCACTAGAGCTAAGCATGTCAAAGCCAAAAGTCTAGTAATGCACACCCATATCTGGCTTCAGTACAGCAGGAACAGGCGATGAGATGGTGTTCAAGGGGTGTTAGAAAGTGGTGCTTGTAAAAAGCTAGTGTACATGGTGTGAGAAGTGTTTCAGAAAGGCTCTTGCAACAACAGAATAGAGATGGGTCGTTGCAAACAACTTGAGAGATGCTTTTTTTCCCTGGAAAGCTTCATATTCTTCAAATATTTTCTCTGGGTGAGCTAGGAGGTCAGCAGTAGTGTTTATGCTCCTCATCTTTCCTAAGAGGCCTTTTGACATTGAAGAGTAGACTGCCATTCCCACTTTCTTTCAATAGAAAGAAAATAAATGCTTAGATTGAGGAGGCAGCACTCTTATTACAGAGGACTGGTAAGACAGGAAGGACTGTGGCTGAAGGTCACAGTTAAAAGGATGAAAAAGGGATCTTTTTTCTATTTTGTCTTTTTTTTTTTTTTTTCTTTATTTCATAGTGTAATCGACTGTTAAAATGGTGTCCTGCCCCAGATTGCCACCATGTTGTTAAAGTCCAATATCCTGATGCTAAACCTGTTCGCTGCAAATGTGGACGTCAGTTTTGGTAAGAAAATCAAGTTAAAGTTGTTGGTGTTGCTTTTTACTTACCACTTAAGTGTATTAGTATGTATTCAGTAAAGTCTTTATGTTGGGATGCGGGGTGGGCTTAAAGTGGCAGGCTAGGATTAAGTACAGCTGGTTGCAAAGCCCATCACTATGTAGTTGCTGCCCTTTGTGTCTTAGGCCTCCTTTGGCACAGAGGCAGATCAGGGTTTCACTGAGAGATGGCCTTCAGCTGAGTGGTTTCAGATTAGGTGAGGTTCTTAACTGCAGGCACTGTCAAGAATCAAAATGTATTGAGAAATATTCTGCTCTGAAATGGCCGCTGAAGGATTTGAGTAGTGTTGTTAGTCCTGGCTTTGGTCTTTCAGCAGAACAACCCAGAAGAAAACTTCTATGGTGTTAACCTATTAAATAAAAGTGTCATCATCTGCCCTCTTTGCTTGTTTTCCCCTTTTTCACTTACAGCTTTAACTGCGGTGAAAACTGGCATGATCCTGTTAAATGCAAGGTGAGCATGTCAAAGTTCTTTTCCAAATACATGACTTTAAACTTCTTAAAAGTCAATTTATGTGCAAGACATAGAAATGAAGCACAAGCTTTGTGGCTTCTCATATCAAGAAGCACAGTAGTTCACATGTTTAGGTCATAGCATGAGAAGAATCAGTGAAATCATGCTGGATGCCTTTAGGATGCCTCAGAGTTGGACTTTGTGAAGAAACAGTGTCTCAGCCAGCTGGGCACATGTCTGGAGGAGGAGGATGTTACACCTGTGACCCTTTGAAGAGGAATGAAGATGCTCAGGAGTGAATGCTTCACTTGACAACAAGCATTCCTGTACTGGGCATTTCTGTAGGTGTTCAGTGCTTCCGCAGACTTGCGATTTGTTGTACTGAAGGAATTAATTTGGTCCTGGGACCTGTTGTCATGCAGTGAACTCTGGAACTGGGCTGTTTTTTTGTGAAGCTATCAGAAGCTCTAATCAAGCCTGGGATCCTGTGGTCTCTGCAGAGCTCGTGGACAGCCAGATTTCACGTCTTTGGGACAGAGCAGTCTGTGTTCCTAGTGACAAATGCAAAAAAAACTCCCTGGGGAGAAGAGAGGGAAACCTCTGCAAAGGTTTACCAATGGCTTAGTTGTTCTTTCCAAACTAGATGTGATCAGTTTATTATCTGAGAGCTGCAAGCAGTCTTTTGCTTTTATTACTTGTGTTCATTTGATAAAGCCATGCTCATGGTAAGGCTTAAAAGAGAGGGGAGGGGGGAAGTGTAAGGTGGACAGTCTGGACATGAGTGGGCATTGCATAGCCTAAGGACAAAACTTGGCTTGATGTAAAGCTAGGCATCACAGAGGATTGGACTGAAGTTTTGTCAGATCGCTGTTATAACGTCCTCAGCATTTTAAGAGTCCTGTGTGAAGTTTGAGCTGGTTGAACTGAAGAACGGCAAACTCATTGCTGAAGGCTTTGTGCTGAGTGATCGTGCTCGCTGAATCAGGATGGTGCTGTAGGAAATGTCTGCAACTAAATTAGCTGCTGTTTGCACTGCTTTCCAGCACCTCCCAGTATTCCCATATGGTTGTGTGTTCCTTACCATTACCTTAATGTAAGCAGCTGTCTTGGGACCCTTTACAGTTCTTCTCTTTAAATGTAACTCTGTTCTTTCTTCATTTGTCTGACAGTGGTTAAAGAAATGGATTAAGAAGTGTGATGATGACAGCGAAACTTCGAATTGGATTGCAGCAAACACAAAGGTGAGAGTTTTTCTGATGTTATATTTAGATTTATCAGTTGAAAAGAAGAATGACAGCCTAATTCCTCTGTACTAGGATTATTCCTTCTTTTACATGCCATGAGTTTAGAGCAAGCCTTAAAATCCACAGCACAGTGAAGTACGTTTGTTTGAAGAGCAAATAGATGTTACTGCCTCAAATCAGGTGAAGTTCTTTAAGTGTGGAGTTTGCTCTTGTAAGAAAGAATTAATTGGAGACCCAAAGGAAGCTCAGGTTTTTAAGTCTTTGGGCTCCTGTCTGGCACTGATGGCTTCCCTAAGCAAACCTCTGTCTCATTCCAAGTGTGTGAAACATGTTAACACCACCTGTGGCTTGATTTGGCTGTGATAATTCACATCTGCCTTTAAATCCCCTGGGTTGGCCTCTTGAGGAGTTGTTCATTTCCGCTGGGCAGGATTCCAGATAGAGGCTGGCAGAACAGCTGTTAAGATTTTATTATGTAAATGTCTTCTTTCCAGCAAGCCCAACTTTGCCTGAAACTTCAGCATTTGTTCAGTTTGGGATGAATTAAAACAAAGGTTGGTATGGCAGCAAGAAAACAAAAGCAGCAGATGCCGTTGGGGTGTGAGGAGCAGACCTGGGTCTCACAACGGCTGAGCCAGGAGGGTGGAAGAAGGTGGGGAGGGTGTGAGGAAATGGCTGCTTTGTTTTCTTAGCTCTGTTGTGTAACTGGTTAATGGTATTGTTTGCATCAGTGACTGCTTCTTTCTGGGGTTGGCTTTGTGTTTTTCATTGAACTGGAATGTTGCGTTATGGTGAAAGCAGAAACACCCATCACGCTGAAACGCACAGTTAAAATCAGGCTGAAATTGTGAAGTCTCAGCTGCTTCTTTTTGTTTCGTGGGCTGAGACTTGTGTGGTCCCCTCTTGGAGGCTGAATGTTGCTCAGTAAAGTGAACTGGCTTTTTTCTGAGGTGAATGTGTTCAAAGATGTATTGTGGCTTAAGAACTGAACCAAATTTGCTCAAAGTTTGCTTGGTCTTCAGGTGTTGCCTGTATTAAGCTTTAAGAAGGATAACCAAATAGCTGGAAAGGGCTGAGTGTAAGCAAATGTAAAGCAGCTTTTAGCTTTGGGTATCAAATATTTGGGACATCAGAATGGCCACAGCCCTACTTTGCCTGTGCTGCAGTCCTATTTTGCCTGTGACAAAGCTGTCAAGAGCCAGATCAGGTGCTGTTGCTGCCCCTCGGGGACGTGGTATTGGTCACGGCCGTAGGTCTGTTGGTCTTCTACCTGCCCCAGCATTGGCACGTGCTGCTAAAGACCGGGGTATGAACTCTCCTTGCTGAGTTTTGTTATGATCAAATGTTAAGCTTTCCGTTACTGGATTCTGTGCTCATTAAAAAGGCTGAAATTATATACACATAAGTGTATATATACACATAATGTAGACCATACATGAATAACATGCCACTAACGCTGGCTACTGGAAACAGGAAGCTACTCATCTCTTTTTCATACAAGGTGATGAGGGTTTCTGTGGCTTGCTTGCCCACAGATTTAAGCATAGACAGAAATATTATTGTCAAGATGATAATTTATTTTATTATATTTTATATTTTATTCTACCAGAATCTAGACTTTGACAGGTAGGAGCCATGCTAGTGGTTGGGCTGGTATTTAAAATGTAGCTCAGACTATTAGAGATAGCATTGAATAGCTGGAATAATTTTTTAAAAATTTTTTTTTTTTTGGTGGGAAACACCCATCCAGGGGATGGTGAGGAGGGGAAATGAGCATGGCCGAGGCTCACTGGCATCAGCCCAGCTTTATCTGTTAGTTCCTGTAGTCTCGTGTCAGCAGCAGAAGGGCTGTTGTCCTTGAACATCCATGTCTAAGCTACTTCCTCTAATGCTGTATGAGATGTTCTACAGCAAGAAAATACTTTGGAGCCCAGGCTGTACAGCAACAACAGGAAGAAAAATAACATTAGGGTAAATTACACAAGACATTTGAGCAAGGCAACTGTCCTGGAGTCTTACGGTATCCATATCAATTGAATTAACCGAAGGACAATATCACAATTCTTCTCTCTCTGGGCTGACACTGGGTTCAGTTGAGGGGAAAGCTGGCAGGAAACGTAACCCACCCTCGTAATGGGTTCTGGCTTCTTGTGGGCAGTGGAGGTGTGGAAGGTGGTAAGTTCACGCTGCTATAATGATGAAGAGTGAGCTGCGCTGGCTGCCGGAGCACGTGCAATCGGAGCTTCGCAGCCTGCGGAGAACCGGATCGGCCCAGAGACACGGGGCTGACAGCCACCCCCTCCTCTTGCCTCAGTTGCCTGATGGCCCTTGGCCAAAGGCACAGAGAAACCCAGGTGCCTGTCTAGTGAGGAGCCAAGGGAAACCCTTTCCTGCCATAACGTGAGGTTGTAGCGATACACTGGGATAGGAATTGCACAGTTGGAGTGCACGTATGTCTGTCCTTACTTTCTCTGTACTATTTCTAGCAGGAAAATGGGCAGTTGTGTTTGGGGAGGGATGTTTTATTCCTGCACAGCTATTTGCTTCTGTGGCTGCAAGTCAGAGCTCAAGTTCCATGTTGAATTTCTTCATTCTGAAGAACCTAAAAAGGAATTGAATCGGGTACCATCCAATGCAAAAATCTCATTTTTCAGTAGGAAAAACTCTCCAAGTGGTCTCCATTGCTGTTTCTAGCTTTTGAAAAGTGCGTTCTCGAGTCCTCCAAGCATGTTGCTGAACTGCAGGCCTGTCCCATGTGGTCTCCATTCAGGGAAGAAAACTTCCTGTCATACCAAAATGAAGGTATAAGAGAAAAATATCAGTCCTTCTGGAATGTCAGTTTGAAATCTGCGTAATCCTTTGCAAGACGAGAATGTGAGATACATTTGTTCCAGCTTGCCCGGGAGACAGAATAGGAAAGGAAAATTAGGCAATTGTTGTACGAGAGAATAGAAAAGTGAAATCCATCTGAATTGATTTCCTCTCAGAAACTGGTGTGTGATGCATTTTTTTTTTATGAATTATGTAGAATGGTCTGAATGAAAAATGAGGAGATTTGAGTAGCAAGTTCTGTGGTTTCCTATATTTTTTTATTATTATTTTTTTGCATTCATTTATTTGCATTTAGACCTGTGCTAAATTCTTTCTACTTATACAAAAGATAGAACCCTTGAAGCAGAGTGTATACTAGATTTGATGGCTTTTTACTTAAGATACTTTCACATATGAGTTCAGCTTAACTAAATTAACTTAAACTTGAGATAAGCCAATACAAATTCTTTATCAAGCCTTTAGTTCTCAATTGTCCTGCAGAGAAAGGTTGAACAGTCCAAGGTTTTGCACATTTCATTTTGTACAAACTTGGTTCTTAAATAGTTCCTAGGCAGGTTTTGGGTATTGTTTAGTTTGTGTGGCTTTGGGAATAAAGACACCACATAGATCATGTACTTCTGTTAAGTGGACCTTCAAAGGAGAAAAAATATAGAAGACTTGGATTTGTGCATTTATTTTGGCTTTTTAAGGTGTATCAAGACTGTCTGAAAGGAGCCTAAAGGAGAGAGGGGAACCTGTTTCAAATGCGAGTTTCAATGATGTTAATCTTTCTACATCTTAGAATACTACAGGGAGAGCAACAAAGATGGTAACGGTGTTGGTCTTTACCCAAGGCACTGTTTTGGGTTTTCTTTTTTTTTTGTTGGAGTTAAATTGGTGTTAATGAAAGTTGTTCATCTGATACTAAAAATGCCCCTGCCTTACTGCTTTTGGCTCCTGGCGTATCACCAGCTCATTATCTTCTGAGCTAGACAGGACTTGAATGGTTGACTTATAAAACGGGCAGATTTTCTTCCTCCAGAAACGCTGTTGGCCATTTTTTTTTTTTTTTTTTTTTTTTTCCCCCCTCTAAGTCAGGTAAAATGGCACGAGCCCAGTTCTCTTCCTTTTCAGGTCACTTTTGAATGTCTGAACATGCGTTCCCTCTGTACTTTCTGGAAGTCCTACACTTGTTCTAACATGTGGAAATTCCTCCCTGGGCACCAACATTGAACTTTGCTCTTTCATTTCTCACCAGCACAGTTTCCTGCCAGAACTGTGAACAGCATCTTTCTGAAGATGTCAAAGTGCCATCTTCTCTCATATGAGCAAGTGTTTAAAATACCCTGCTTTGCTCAATAACTCTAGGTGTTGTCACTGTGTACTATTTTTGAGCTAACCATTATTAAGTTCAGCAGTTTTGGATTTTGTTGAAATGCATTAAGAAATCTCCGTGGTGTTTGAGGATTCTTTTATTTTTTTTATAGGATGGGTTATAGGTGAAGGCGTCGCTGTGAATGTGGCTGATATACACCATTTGCCTCTGGGAGTGCCCGAGTGGACTAATCTGTTCCACCTGCTCTGAAATATGAAATATGTTTCTATTTAGCCTCTTGTTCATAAAACAGCAGCTGAGGTTTATGGTGTTTTATGTACCCGCAGCCTTTTATGACAAAATAGGGATTGTTCTCCTTTGCCAGGTTTGCCCAGGCTCTTGTTTCAAAGCGCAGCCTGTAAGCACAACACCAAATTGTTTGGAGTGGAACAATGTTAATGAGGTCACTTCTGCATGGCGGCATGACAGATAACGAGCAGAATAATCTACCGGTTTAGTAATTTGATTTGCTGGCTATTACGTTGTTGCGTAGCCATAATTCTCAATAAGATCTTCCTTCCCTGTCCTCCTTAATCTATAAATCTCTCCCACTCGTTGCGTTGGTGGCTTGAGTAGTTGCTGCTTTCTTTCCGCTGGTGTTTAGCATTTCTTAGCATGTTCTTCTCATGACTTTTCCTTCATTTTTTATAATATTTAATTTTTACACAGCTTCATGCATCTGTATATCTTATAGTGTCATCTGTCTTCCTTGTGCTTTGCTTGACAGGCGTATAAAGGCTTGAAAAGGATAATATTCCCTGTAATAAAAGGGCTGTAATTAGGGTCTTTTTGTTCTACTTTCAATCACAGGGCTAGACGCCCTAAGCACCGTGCAGTGTCAAGACACGGAGGAGCTTGGCCTTATCCTCAAAGGCAGGAGAGGAGAATTTCAGTGCTCTTTATGGAACCTAGATGAGGATGGACCCATGTTCTCGTAGTGTGGCCGTGCCCCGCTGTGCCTCTCCAGCTTGGCAGGTCATCTGGGAACTGTTTTCTCTGTTCCAGTTGTGGGATTTCCCTAAGCAGGAGTGACTGCTGCAGCTGTTTGTTTGGATTAGCTGCATCTTCCCCCGAGATACGTGGATCTTGGCATCTCATTGGATAAAATGTGTTTGGAAGAAACCGCACAACTCTTGTGACTGCCACCTTCTCTTGGAAAAACTATTAATTGCTGTGTGCCCCAGGGTCAGCATTTAAGTGATAGGGGAGCTGTGTCATGATGTCACATGTGTTTGTACATATTAGCTATGTGCACCCTGGATGATGAGCTCATCAAGCACAGATCTTCATGGTTGTGAATCATAGAATCACAGACAGGTTTGGGTTGGAAGGGATCTTAAAGCTCATCCAGTTCCAACCCCCCTGCCATCAGCAGGGACACCTTCCACTAGACCAGGTTGCTCAAAGCCTCATCCCGCCTGGCCTTGAACACTTCCAGGGAGGAGCAGCCACAGCACAGAGGTGTCTCACCACCCTCACAACAAAGAATTTTTTCCTCAGATCTTGTCTCAGTCTCCCCTCTGCCAGTTTAAAGCCATCACCCCTTGTCCTGTCACTCCATGCTTCTGTCCAGAGTCCCTTCCCAGCCTTCCTGGAGCCCCTTCAGGTACTGGAAGGCCGCTAGAAGATCTCCCCGGAGCCTTCTCTTTTCCAGGCTGAACAGCCCCAGCTCTCTCAGCCTGTCCTCATAGCAGAGGTGCTCCAGTGAAGAATATTGATGGGATAAACATCAGTTTGGGTCATGAAATATTGGTGCAGGACTGGAAGAGGGAGGAGGGCTACCTGGAAAAGGGAAAGTAGGTAATGTACTGGGTACTGTGCTGAAAGGAAAGACCAGTTTTTATTCTGAAATTCCCAGAACTGCATTGACTGACTAATTGAGAACAAGCTTTCCTGGCTGAGTATCCATCCTATGGGTAGCCCTAGAGGACATCTTGATGTTGTCCCCTCTGAGGTGGCCTGCGGGGGAGCTACTCTGCCTCATTTACTGTTTGTAGTCCAGCTGCTATCTTTGTAGGACAAACACAGGTTTGAAGGAAAGAAAGCAGAGCTGGAAAAATCCCTTTATGCACTTACTTGATGCTTGAACCCATCGGAGTAACAACCAGCCCTGAAAAAATGAACTAAAACAAATAAGCAGCCAGCCTAGTGTGCAGTGTACTGACAAAGCACAAGGACAGGGTGAGGTGTGACTGCAGAAACTAAGTCATCAGACTACTGGAGACTAGTTCCCTAAGTATGGGGAATCTTTTTATTTTAATTTTCCTATTTATCTTCTGGTTAGAAATTGAGCTTTGTCCTCTTACTTAGGCCAAGCCCGGGTTGTGACCTGTTGATGGGATGGGAGTGCTGCTCTTTGATGCTCTTCTTGGCTGAATAGATGGGCAGTGCTGGCCAAATGCTGTAATGGCATGTCCTTGCAAAGGAATGGCTCGGAAAACCTTGCTGGTTGGGTGGGATGTCAGCAGTTTCTACCCAGTCCTTAACCCTTCCTCTTTAGGATCAGGCAGTAGGACCAGAATAGGACTTTGGAGTGGAAGAAATGATGGCAGGACTCAAATGGAGTGCTCTGCCATTGCTGAGGAGACTAAAATAATGGAATGATTTAGGTTGGAAGGGAATGCCATGTTGTTCGGGCCCCCAGCTTGAAGCAAGGATAACCTCAAAAATTAGGGCAAGCTGCTGTAACGAATCTTATTTTTCATTAGTGCTCAGGTCTGCAAATTTGCAATAATCAGGAAATAAAACTCACTGAAGTCACTTTAATTATGTTGGCCAAAAAGAAGTTGCAGTCTATCATGTCTTCTCCCTCATCTTTTTTTCCCCTTATAACCTTCTTTGCCTTACTGCAGGGTTCCCTCCCAGTGGTGGGAAGGGCCACGTCTGACATCTGGAGACCACATGGGTCTTTTACACCTCCAGAGCTATCTTCTGACTACTTAAATATGTATCTGTTTATAATCTAGCTCTCATTCAGTGTGCAAATTCCTCTGTCTTTTACATGATAAGTAAATTGTGACACTCGGAGCGAGTGTACAAGCAGTAGCAGTTCTAGACTGATTGAACATGTTGGTTTCTTCCTTTATTGAGAGTTTATCTGAAAGCCAGAATAGGAAATAGTGATCTGGTTAGCAAACAGTGAAGTTGTGCTTCTTTCTAATTGGGGAGGCGATTTTAAAGTCTTCTGACTCAAAAGCTGCAGCTGATTTTTACGCGAGTGCAGATTACTTGTTCGGATATGTTTGTTATTGCCTGGTAGATAAAACCTGGCTTTTGCAAAAACATCAGAAATGCTGGTGTAGCTGGACTGAGGAACTGATCCAGGCTAAAATGTTTTGGTTTTATTTATTTATTTATTTTTACTTGCTGCTTGATTTTAACCTGATGTGTTCCTTGACGTGGCTTTTGTGCAACTGCATTGTGTCCCAACACAAGAGAAATGCCACAGGGACAGGAACAAGCACCAGAAGAGGGTTGGACTGTTTTCCTGGACTTGTTAGAGGCAGCTTAGTATATTCTTGCAACCTTGTCTTTGTGTACTCATTGGGATAAAACAAAATTAATCTTTCATGTTCTACATGAGTTGAATATCATTTTAGGAAGTTGCCATATGCTCCTGATGTATGAGAATGATATCGATGTTAGTAAAAAACAACCAACCTATTCCCTAAAGATTTCCCTGTGCAGTGCTGCTCTTTGATATCCTCGTATTTGTCAAAGGCCTCACACCTGAAAGGGAAACCCCATGTGGGCTTTTGTAGAAAACCCTTCAGTGACATGTCACATGAAGGGGAAAAAAGGGGCCTGACAAGAAATGTGGAAGTGCCTCAGGAGGAGATGTCTTTTTAGCTGACAGAAGCATCTTTGAGGCACACTAGATTCTTGCTGCACATCTCCAGATACTTTCTGGATGGTGTTTTATAACTGCAGGTGTCTTGGATTGACAACAGCATGATATTAGCTCACTGTTAGGCCTTTTTCAGTTTTGAGTGCTGAAATAGACCAAACACTTGATGGTGAAGAAAGCCAGATGCCTTCTCCTGGGCAGTTAGAGACCATCACTACTGCTGGGATTTTGAAAAAGGTCATGAAATTATCTATCCACTGTATCACTGTGATAGCAGCATAGATAAAATGTGTTATTCCTCAAGGTTTTTTTGCTATCTAGCCGCTCCGATTTTGGAAGTACTTTAAGATGTGACGCAGAAGAGGATCTTGATGATCAAAGGGAAAAAGTAAATCGTGCCTTTCACTTGATGTGCCATCTCTTACTGCCACAGGAACCCTTCTAACTTCACAAGACTTGCGGGTTCTGTGTTTTCACTGCTAGTGTTGCTCTCTGTCCTGTGAACAGGAATTCCCAAAATGCCATGTCACCATCGAGAAGGATGGGGGCTGCAACCACATGGTCTGTCGGAACCAGAACTGCAAAGCTGAATTCTGCTGGGTGTGTTTGGGACCTTGGGAGCCCCACGGATCTGCCTGGTGAGTTCAGGAGGGTGCCTTGCTGGAAGGTGAGGAAGCTGTGATGCAAACAGCATCGATTTGGACTGAAATCTCTGGAACTGGTGTCCCTGTTACAGGTACAACTGCAATCGCTACAATGAGGATGATGCAAAGGCAGCAAGGGATGCGCAGGAGGTGAGTCCATAACTTTTGGTGATACGGAAGATCACCAACCCTGTGGCCTGCTTTCAGGCTTTCTGTAAACCTATAAATCAACTCTGAAGAATTTCCTGGATTTGGGCACAAATCCAGCAGCTTTGGATTCTTGCCTTGGGCCAGAAAAAAATGTTCAAAGTCACTTTAACCCAATTTAAAGAACACATTAACTCAGTTGTTATCTGTCATGCCACCTTGCCTGTTTTATAGCAGCTCTTCGCATGAAGTCATCGTAATGCTGTGGGTCCAAGACAATAATCCTCACAGCCTTTGTAAAATGCTCTTTACTGCAGAGTTCTTAATGTGAATCTTGAGGTGTTTAAACGCAGCAGACCTTTTGAATGTAAATCGAATAGACTGCTCTTGTTCCAATAACTATACTTGGAGGCTTGATGTGGAAGAAACAGTGGGTGAAGTTGTGGCTACTTTAAACTGTTCTGTGAATATGGATTGAGCCAACCCCCTTTTTAACAGGGAGGGATTGCATGCTGTGTGCTGCAGCTTGCAGAAATCCATTTCCTGCATCTCTGTCAAGGTACTGTTATAGCCAAGAACCAAAGTATTTCCTGCAGCCCCTCCTCTGGCAGTTAGGGATGACTTTGGCTGATAAGTGCTACCTTTGTACAAGTTTAACCATGCCCATATTGTCATTTTTTTTTTCCAGCTGATCTGTCAGTGAGAAGAAAATGAGATTAATGGCTGTGTATTGAGTCATCTTGGTTCTCTTATACTACTTAGCACATGACGTCTTTCCCTTGTGCTATAATCAGCATGGCTTGGGCAACCTAAGGTTGCCCTCTTAACACAAGCACAGTAATTGTTTAATTAAAATTCTGTATTAACAAAAAAAAAGAAATCTTCCTCTGACTGTTTGTCATGACACTGGAAGCATTTAAGTCCTGTAACTTGAATTGAGAGGCTGAAATTCAAAACTGATTGGGCTTTTAGCAGTGTGATTCAAATTCCTTTCAGGGTTGGGAGTGAGGATGTCACAGCTGAGCTAGGACGTCCCCTGCATGACGGGGAGCTGCAGTGGGTCTGGCCTCTCAATGTCAGGGTTAACAGTGCCACACAAAGCGGCACCATCCAAGTCTGGCTAGTGTGAGAGGAGAGGAAACACCTTTGAAAGGAAGCTCATTCTCATGGTCAGGAAGAGCCTTGTGAAGGGTTTACTTCTCTTGCAACCATTACTCTGTTTTAACTATTTGTTTTCTTTTTCTTTAATGGGAATTAATGCAGCGATCCAGAGCAGCCCTGCAGAGGTACCTGTTCTACTGCAACCGCTATATGAACCACATGCAGAGCCTGCGCTTTGAGCACAAGCTCTATGCTCAGGTGAAGCAGAAGATGGAGGAGATGCAGCAGCACAACATGTCATGGATCGAGGTGCAGTTCCTGAAGAAAGCAGTCGACGTCCTCTGCCAGTGTCGTGCCACACTCATGTACACTTACGTCTTTGCCTTCTACCTCAAAAAGAATAATCAATCCATTATCTTTGAGGTAGGAGAAAGCACGGTTTCAGGAGTTCAGATTACAAAGCTAAACAAAATAGAGATTTTATGCTTGGAGAAGCTCTTCTCCCCAGTTTCTTGAAGTGAATCTGTCTGTTGTGCAAAAGTTAGAGGCCCTGCTGGGCATCATGTAGTGTTGTCTTCTGGAAGAGAAAGTAGAGTTACAAGGTGCTGCCCTCTGAAACAAGAAAGGGAGTGAGGTTCTGTCTTGAACTGGCCAAGAAGGCATTAAAGCTTAAATCTGGCATTTTGACTTTCCCTGGTCTTGGCTTTTTTCCAAGGACGCTACCATTAAAATTGCACTTGAAGATTTAAATGTAGAGGTCCAATCTGCTTCACAAGTGAAACTGTTTTGACTATTTATGACTTAGAAGAGTCTTTTGGTCTTTGTGCAGAACTTAAGCAGGATGCTTCTGTCCTGCATGCTCAGCAAAGGACACACAGAACTACACACAGAGCAGTAGTGAAAGCTGTGCATGTACCAGGGGTCAGTGGAGGCTTTGCCAATGCTGGCAAAAAAAGAAGAAATAAATAAACAAGGGACAGAATGGGAGACGAGTTGTCGTGTATTGCACTGTACCACTAGTAAGGAAAGGATTTTTTTAAGGCTTGCCAGGATATTGCAGATCAAGGAAGACATGACTTGCTGGTAAATATGCAGATTTTCTTCTGATCAAATGAAGAAATTTCAGCTTTTTCAATCTTGATGCTCACAGCAGGTTACTGGAGTGTTACACAGTGCATATCTAATCTGGCTTTTTATTTCAGTACTGATTTCAGTTGGATTGAAGAAAAAAATCCCTTCTTTCATTCCCTCCCAAATACTTTGGTATTTTCCTTTCTGTCTTTGCAGAATAACCAAGCAGACTTAGAGAATGCTACAGAGGTGCTTTCTGGGTACCTTGAGCGAGATATATCCCAAGATTCGCTGCAAGACATAAAGCAGAAAGTACAGGATAAGTACAGGTTTGTTTTTTGAATAATCCTCTATCTCAAAGCCACCTGAGTACCTGTGTCACCATCCCATGTGACAGGCAGTGACGTGTGTACTTGCCAAAGTACAGTTTTCTCCAAAATCCTGTCCCTGGGAGGCTGTTGGCCTTCAGCCATACACTGTGATAATCACCCAGTCCCTGGGCATTTGAGAACAGCAGCAGTGATATCCCATGCCAGCCCCTGGAATCATCAGCAGCGAAAACCCTCACGCAGATGCTGGCAGCATGTTTTTGTGCCCCTACTGGGACCAGCCCTTGGAGGAGGTGACAGCCTGCAGGGAGAAGTTACCAACTCTGCCTTGCGGCTGCTCTGCTGAAGAGCAGCTAAAAGATTCAATCCTTTAATGGAAAAATCTTGTGACCAAAAGCAATGGCTTTTCATACACTGCTGTTCATGCATGGAAGGAGCACGTGGGAATGGTCAGGACCAAGACAGGACCTGTATCATGAGGGCCAGAGAAGAACAAGGAGTGTCTGTTGTTCCAGCTGACAGCTTTGGCCTAGGATGAGTTGCCATGAGAGCAATCGGCTCTTACTTATCTGTTGGGTCCATTTGTGCAAAAAGTGGTTGTAGAAAAGCCATCTGAAAGAAGAAGGAGAGAGCAACCTGCCCAGCTGGGGAGGAGAGCAGAAGAGCTGGGGTCCAGGTGACACAAATGCCAATGCTTTTTACAGTCCCAGAGGAATTGCTTCAGCACAGTGGAAAAGTACAAAGCTGTAAATGCGGATGAGTCACAGGATTATGGCTGGCGTTTTTGGGGCAGTTTGCCAAAGTCACTGAATTTGTTATGCCTAGCTTGGTGGGGTGGGGGGGGGAGCGGGGGAAGCCAAAGTGGGGTGAGATGTAGTGACTAAGGGACTCTGGGGAGTGGAAATAGCTGTTAAGCTTTGGTGGGCCTGTGGCCTGTTCTGCTGGAGCCTGACAACACATCTGGGTCTGGATAAAACTTACCAGACCTTCTTTTTTGAAGCATTTTGTAATTTATCAACTTAATGATGGTCTTAAAGGGCTATCTCAGCTCAAGCTGCTTGTTCACTTAAGTCCTCTGAACCTGAATGCCCTTCTAGGGCTGACAAAGCTATCCAGAAAAAAATTAAAACCTAGTATAGCCTGAATTGCCTGAAAACATAGGATCCTAAACCTACATTCATGTTTCTGGGAAGAAAGTATGCATCTGTCAAGCCTATACAGGTCCCTAATTAACTAGGTCAATCATGTCTTAATCATGTCCTGCACATGTACAGGTTACGGTGCACTGATGCAAGACTGGGAGCAAGGATGTTATTGAGGTGGGTTTAAAGAGCTCTGGGAAACTGCAGGGACTGACCTCCTAGCTAATTTGGTTTCAGCTGTTTCCACCTCTTAACTTGCAAAGATATTTCTAGAAAACAGGATTAAGCCCCCAGCACCAGCAGCAAAACAACTGAAGTTGGGAAAGCAGAAACTGTGTGTGTTCGCTATCACGTGCTTCAGAAAATCAATGGGACTTTGTGTACGATGGTTTCTGGTGCAACAGCTGATTGATAGCAGTGAGAAGAGCCAGGACAGTTTTATTCAGATAAATCTGTTGGTCTGATCAGACGCTGAATGGTGGCAGTGTTAAGGTGAGGAATTTCTGCTGACGTGTTAGCACACGTTGTGATCAAGGATAGCTTTCTGCTAGGGTCTTCTGGGAGATTCCTCCTTTAGTGAGCAGAGGGATGTATGGCCATTGCTAAGACAGACAGATTTCCACCTGTGAAAGCCTGTTGCATGCCATCCTGGCTGATGTGGATGCCTGGAAACTGAATTCCACAATTCCCAGCAGGAACCAGTAACTCAGCAGCTGGCTCCCGAGTTCCAGTTCCTCAGTGTTACAGTACACCACTCCGGGCTGGGCGCTGCCGAACTGTGAACCAGCTACACAACTACACCTGGGGCCTTGGGGAGAGCTGTTCCTAAGACTTGTCTTGTCCCCCTTGTGCCTAAAGATGATGTAGAATTTGGCATCACCGCTAGAAGGGGTTTAATCCAGAAATATTTATAATTTGCTCTTGGAACCTGAATACTTTAAACGTTTCCCTGCTTTTATCTTTTTAGTTGGCTAACGCACCCGAAATGGCAGTGGCATCTTTTGATATATTCCTATGATACCACTTTTCCTCAGTATCATTTATCCTGGTAGGACTGTACCTAACTCTGGGATAAGTTTTATTTGCATTTTTTATCTGTTTAAATGAGTGTAGGTGGGAAGACCTTGCAGGCTGTAGTGCCCCTCTGAGACCCTGCGATGTGAGGTGGAGACTTGGGCTCCAACCAGACCAGTAACCATTTTTGTATCCAGTTTGATCACTTCCACCTCCAGTGGGATTTTGGAGAGAATAAAATTTCAGTGCTCCCGAGGTTTTGCCCATTGCTAGCTCCTGGATTTTATTGTCTTGATAGGGCTCAGTGAGTAGGCACCAGCCGGTATGTGAGGAGAGTTTCATCCCCTTTTGGGTGTCACCGTTAACCTGTGCTCTTGCTTTTTGCCAATTGCAGCTGCTCCTTCTTTGTGTTTCAGTTATTAATGGAGGTTTCTCAGCTGTAGAGGCTCTGGAAATAATTTTGTGTGGGAAAACCTAAATTTGCGTGCTGTTTTTTTTCAGCCAGGGACCTGGAGTTGAGTGACTGGAGTAACTGAAGTCTTAATTAGCACTGTTAACGGGCAACAAATACAAAGTCCCTTCTCCGGGGATCTCCTCTTTCAGAAGCAAGGCTTAATGTAGGTTTGTGTGACTCAATGCTGAGGCTGAGCTGTGGTTTCTCACCTGCCTTTTCTGTGCTCTTCCTCTTTGCCGCAGATACTGCGAGAGTCGACGAAGGGTTTTGTTGCAGCATGTGCATGAAGGCTACGAGAAGGACCTGTGGGAGTACATTGAGGACTGAGACTGGCCCTGCATAAAACGAACTCTGAAACCTTTCCCATCCTAGAGTGCTCATGCGATTCAAATAAAACACACACAAGGCTCTACGCCAGTTACACCGCTGGTCTGTAGTACCGGGATTCTGTTTTGTTAACAGAAAAATTTAAGTAAATTATATTGTAATAAAAAAGGTAGATAAACCATTGTACAACAGTATTCTAGGCGGCCAATAAGAGTGTGACAGATGCACTAAAAAAAAAAAAAAAAAAAAACAAACCCTCCAACTTTAACTTGTAACGTAGCTTCATTCTCCAAGCCGACTCCTTTTTCTTTTCTCTCTTTCTTTTCCTGTGTGTAGTACAGATGAAATTTAAACCAGTTTCTTGACACTGCTTTTTCATGTCCGAACCAGCCATTTTGATGTACTTTGGTCGGGGAGGGGAGAGTGGCTCTCCAACTCCCCTCCTCTTCCTCCTCCTCTCTGCCACCCAAGTACATGGATGAATGTCAAGTGGCTCATGGTAAAGATGACTTTTGGGGAGGGGAGGGGGGGG